TGTGTGTGTGTGTGTGTGTGTGTGTGTGTGTGAGAGAGTGAGTGTCAGTGTTGTGGGAGAAGCTAACTAAAAGTAGCACTGCTACTAACTAAACTACAATTAAGCAGCAGCTGTTTTTTAAACAGTGTAGCTTAAACAGTAGCAAACAAATTTTTCCAACAATAGCTGTGCAACACTGCTAATTTAAATATATGTACCTTTTTGTATCAGAGTTGTGATTTTAATTCCCACACCTGCAACTATATGTCTCACAAACTGACTTTATTATGTCTCAAACATTTAACTTTCTTGTAATTGTGCCTTTTTGTAATTGTGACTTACACTTACCTCACAGTTTGACTGTATATTTCACAAATTCAACATATCTCACAACTGTGACTTTGTTTCCACTAAGTGTGACTTTATGTCTCATAATTATGACTTTAAATCGAACTATTGCAGCTTTATAGCTAACAATTGCAACTTTGTATTTTACAGTTTGACACTGTCACTTTTTTACTTTGTTTCTCATTATTGTGACTTTATATCAGTCATAATCTAAAGATTGCAACTTTGTATCTCACCTTTTTAATTTACAGTGTTTTACAATAAACCCAAGCTCATTGAAAAAAAAATTATGATAAAATAAAAAGCGTCCATCCATAAAAAAAAAGTGTCTCACGTGGCTCCGGGGGGTGAACAAAGGCCTTCTGTAGCGAATCGATGCGTTTTTGTAAGAAAAATATCCATATTCAAAACGTAATAATCACTTTAATGTAGCTTGCGCTCACTGTTGTAAACGGAAGCAGTTCCGGGCGGATGACCTCTGAGGTCAGCGCTGCGCATGCGCTGGTGAGTCTCGTGAAAACCAACGTTTGTTAACAGGAGCAAAGGAAGCAAAGTTTCCTTACTTTAGCAAAGGAAAACCAGTCTCCTCTTGGCTTATATCGAAATCCTCCGACATTCTTCTTTACAAATCCTCGCTTTGTATTTCTAATTAGTGACCGTTGTTTTGTTTTGATCTCTCAGCTGCGTTTCCGCGTGCGTCACTTCTGAGCGGCACATGCGCAAAGCTGAACTCATACGTCATTCCCCCAGAACTGCTTTCTTGTACAACAGTGAGTGCAAGCTACATTAAAGTGATTATTACGTTTTGAATATGGATATTTTTCTTACAAAAACGCATCGATTTGCTACAGGAGGCCTTTGTTCACCCCCCGGAGTCGTGTGAGACACTTTTTTTTTATGGATGGGCGCTTTTTATTTAACTTGTTTTGGACTGAAGCATGCAACACCCGCTGAGTGCCATGAAACAGCTTGAAAGATCAAAGACAATTTTTTATATAACTGACTGGATTCGTCTGAAAGAAGAAAGTCATATACACCTAGGATGACTTGAGGGTGAGTAATTTATTGGCTATTTTCATTTTTGGGTGAACTAACCCTTTAAGTAGCAAATGAGAATCATTAAAATGAATGCATATATTTTGAGACAAAGGTCTTCTTTATGATTTAAATATATTTTTTATATTAACATTTTAATGACAGTATATTTATTGAAAAAAAAAATATTTTATTTTTCAAAATAAGCAGAAAATAGTACAAACTTTGCTAAAGTGATTGTTTTGAACAAGTATTAACTTAGACATTATTTAAAAAACATTATTTTAGCTGAAGTATTTGTATCAATACCGTGTGCCTTTTACCCCATGCTGGTGAGCCTTTTACTCTTTTAGCCTTTTACAATTACCTTTATTACTATTATTATTATGTTTTACTTTGAAGGAGAAAAACAGGCTCCTATAGTTTCTGACTCCATTTATTAAGACAAATAGTGTGCATGTAATAACTGTTCAGTTGCATATATTAGCTAATTCTGTTTAGATTTAACGTTATTGCACAATTAATTCGTTCAAAATACCAATTTTGTACCAACACCAATTAAATTCTAAATCATATAGTGTGCTCTTATCTAGCTTCATATGTAGTTAGCTATTTTTTGTTAGCATTTTGTATTGTAGCTGATTAGTTTTTAGCGTAAAAAGGTTAGCTTCACTGTTGTTTAACTATGAATTATGAGTCGTTTGTAGCCTGGCAAGTTACATTTCAGTAGCTTTCCCAGGAAAGTTGTGTATATATGCTTTCACAAAGCTAGCATGTATGTTTGTGTTTGTTTCTACTACAGAGTAGTTGTGTGTGTTTATGCATAGCCTCTGGCAGGTTTAAATTACACACTTGTTGACAGGTGTGAAAGTTTCAGGTGCTTTTGCCATTAAAAATGCTAAAGCTCATACACACACACAATGCAGTGGTCAGACATGCTTTCTCTAGAGGAAAAACAGTAGCTTCCAGCACAGCTTTAAAATCAATCAATGATGGAGACTCCAGCTTTGGTATCTGGCAATTTCTGTGCAGTGAGAGAAATTCCAGCATAGCCGTACAGCTGAAACATGCATGAAAACACAGTTACACACTCACACACATGTGCTGCTGACAATAAGACATTAGCAGGTGCTCTGCGCTAACGCTAAGTCTTAGTGGGAAAGCTTACCTGAAAGATTTGCTTGAGAGAGAACAGCGCTCTTCGCAGCTCACGTCCAGTCGAATTGTAGAGCTTTTCTGCAGGAGAAAACAGGGAAAAGAGATTTGAGTTGATCTTCATGTGCTTTACTTTCTAACATTTGCAAGTTTAGATGGAGCCTTTGGGCTATTTTAATATATTAAGGGGACATATGCTCCATAATAGGGATGGGCGTATCGATCCTGAAGTATCGATATATCGATACAGACACGAGTATCGAAAGCATCGATACTCAAACAAAAATATCGATACTAAGGTGTGCTTTATTTACCAGTGATTTTGTTTATTTAACAATAAATTAATGCGTACAATATGCACTGAATTGGACGAATACCCCATGTTAGCACATAATTGTGTAGGATATTTTCCTGCTCATCTGAACACACGCAGATGTTGCAAGACAGAATCAATCAATCACGGAGAGCGTTTACTCACTTCTGACAGTGCATTCAAACAGGGCTGCGTTTCCCAAAATATCATAAGAAAGCATTGATGCCTTTGGGAACGGCAGCCCAGAACAATGCTTATCAGAGGACAGAAAAACATATATGGTTGAGTTATTTCACAATAAACAAATTGAAATTGTAGCCTACATAGTTTGTGCAATTACATTTATTTAAATTGAACGTTGAAAGATAATATTGATCATGTTCTATTCTGTAATGTTAATATAAATCATACACTGTCAAAATAAAAAGGTTGCATTTTATGCATGCAACAGCCCTTCACTGTAGTCCCTTATGAAAATGAACCATGGTTTTACTAAAGTGACCACAGTTCAACTATAGTATTTGTAGATTTCCATGGTTACCACTACAGTAAACATATTTGAACCATGTGTAAACGAAAATATAATTTAATAAGTTGCAATGTTAAAATGTGTTTCAAATATAAAGTTAAGTGGTTATCATTACCCATTTTACTCTTAGTAATTTAATACTTTAATAAATTTCATAATTTAAAAGTTCAGTTTAGAAGTATCGTATCGTATCGATATCGACGATACTGGCCTTGAAAAATATCGGTATCGTATCGAAAACAAAATAAGTGGTATCGCCCATCCCTACTCCATAACTCCAGCACTTTGGAGCCCAGGAAAAGAACTGAATTGTGTTTGCTGTTAAAAAAGCAGTGCTTCAGTCTGCCAGCGTGTGGCAGGGTTGAGCAGAGTAATGCCTGTGTGCTTTAGTGCAGTAGCTAAAGACAGACTCAGCCTCTGACTCAGCACCTATATGAAATAATGGGCATGCATCTCTCTCTCTCTCTCTCTAGTATCCTTGATTATCTCTTTATCGATGGCTCTGAGGAGCTGTATACTGAAACCACAGGCCGAAGCTCACAACATACTATGCTCTCTCTCCATTTTTCTTTCTCAATGTGTCCCCATAGAGAACTCTCATTAACATTCCGACCTCAATATTGGCAGCCTGAGAGTCTAATTTAATCATGCCTACTGCTGAGTGTGTGTTTGTGAATGTCAGACTCTCTCTCTCTCTCCCTCTCTCTCTCTCTCTCTCTCTCTCTCTCTCTCTCTCTCTCTCTCTCTCTCTCTCTCTCTCTGTGTATTTGTGTCAATGCCAGCTTTTGCATGCGTACATTATTATGCGCATGTGAGAAGGAATACTAGTCTATTAACTAGCAAATATAATACCAAAGTAATGTCATCTACACCATATGTAAGGAAGGTACGAAAATTTTTTGCCACAACTGCCAATGGTACTTTGCATTAACTGAATCAAATGTATAATATATAGTGGACACATAACATGTAATCCTAAAAAAAGTTACTTTCCAACTTATTGATTGAATTCTGGTCCCTTTATGGAGAAAATAAGTTCTACTAGTTTAATTCTCTAAATCCCCAATCGCTAAGACAAGAAGAGATTAAACTGCTAACAGGTTTCATTGCTAATAATTACAGAAATACAATACTACATACAGGAGCACCATATCCACCCTTTTTATAAATATTCTCAAGTATTTCAGAGTGCCAGAGAGGATTTTTTTTTCCGGTTTGTCTTTATAATTGGCCGGCACATTTCCAGAACTTGTTTTCATATACAGTAACGACAGGGTTTTGTGTTGGGTTTGACAGGACCACACCACTGTGATTTACCTCCGGCATATGTTTCTGTTGTGGGCCTCAACAAATCATGTGGAGCAAAGACAAGAACCGCATGAACCAAAGCCAGCCATCTTTTTCAACCAATGTGTCAGAACTTTAATCTGGTTTTACTCAGATGTAAATCAAAGCCACCTCTAGGGAGAAAAGACCTCTGGCACACCTGTACACCTCAAGATCCAGATTATAAAGAACAAAACAATTAAGTTAAACAAGTCTCTTTGAAACAACTTGTCAAAAATATCCCAGAAAAAAAGTCAAACTGAACTTTAAAAGATTACCCAATCATTTTAGTAATGTAAACATTCTTTTAAAGGGACCATGTTCTTTTTTCAGTGAAATACACTTATAATCAACAATTCCTGCAACAAAACAGTCAGCATTTTTACCTTTCTCTAACATATAAGCCAGAATTGTATGGTTTAAAACAAACAACAGATGACAAACCATCATTCATTTTGAACAGAAAGTCACATGGGGGCTGTACAAAGTTCTGATCCTGTTCAGATTCAGAATTGTTCATTCCAACTTGCATCTAAATATTTGTAAATATTGCAACGACTGCACAGTAAAAGTCCCAACAGATATGATTTGCAAAAAACAGTTTCCCATGATATTTCCGTCCAATACCAGTATGTAGAATGCAGGGCTCATCAAACAGATATTAAAGATGAAGTGCGCCACTAATGGCATTAATGGTGATAGAGTGATAGAGCATTAAACTTAGTGTCACCACTAATGTCATAATATAATGTACAAAAATATTAAAGGAGGAATAAGATTATTGTGATGTTTTTATCTGCTGTTTCGACTCACATTTTGATGGCACCCATTTGCTGCAGAGGATTCACTGATGAGCAAAAATGCTAAATTTCTCCTAATCTTTTCAGATGAAGAAACAAACTCATCTACGTCTTGGATGGCCTGACAGTACATACATTTTCAGCAAATTTTTTGCAGGTTTAACTGGTATCAAACAGGCTTCCTGTACACTCCTCCTGTCTGCCATTGGTCAAAAAAAACGATAGTTCCGTCCTCAAACTCGCACTATTGGCTGAGAAGTCACACTTTATTTTAAGGTCCAATTCTCACCATTAACAAACCATTAACTTCAACTTTTGCCTCAATAAACTCCTAATTTGCTGCTTATTAATATTTAATAAGGTAGTTGCTAAATTTAGGTATTGGGTAGGATTAGGGATGTAAAATATGGTCATGCAGAAACCAGTCATAAGGGTCAATTTTTTGAAATTGAGATTTATACATCATCTTAAAGCTGAATAAACAAGCTCTCCATTTGTGTATTGTTTGTTAGGATAGGACAATATCTGGCCGAGATACAACTATTTGAACATCTGGAATCTGAGGGTGCAAAAAAATCTAAATATTGAGAAAATCGCCTTTAAAGTTGTCCAAATGAAGTTCTTAGCAATGCATATTACTAATCAAAAATGAAGTTTTCATATATTTACGGTAGGAAATTTACAAAATATCTTCATGGAACATGATCTTTACTTAATATCCTAATGATTTTTGGCATAAAAGAAACATTGATCATTTTGACCCATACATTGTTTTTTTGGCTATTGCTACAAATATACCCAAGCGACTTAAGACTGGTTTTATGGTCCAGGGTCACATATGTGCTTTATAAGCACTAATAATTAAGTTCCGTATCAGTTACAAAATATTAATATTGTAGAAACTTAATTTGCTGTAAAGTTGCTTTGCAATGATTTGTATCGTGAAAAGCGCTGTACAAATAAACTTGACTTGACTTGACTTAATAAACAGCCAATATGTTAATAATAGGCATGCTAATAAGCAACTATTTAATAGTGAGAATTGGTCTCTATACTAAAGTGTTAACGGTTGAGCCAAAGTTGCCATGTCCGGACTATTCACGCTGCTCAAATAGAGCAATTATAGCACAAGAGTCATAGATGTCACACTTTTCAGGGAATCAAAAATGGTGTACTTGCAACATTAGGATGCACAGGAGAAATTATTAAAAAAATATGTTTTACACTTTTAACTCTTCATAACACAACACCTCTTGAAGAGTGGACATACAGGCTGAAAGACTTGAGGAATGATCTGTAGACCTCAGCAGCATCTGGTGATAATTTGTTCTCTTCCTCACATTTAATACCATGTCTTGTAAAATTACTCTTAGAATCAACACAAACAACAATAAAAGCACATTCTGTTCAAGCAACCTTGGCCTCCAAACCTCCTCCATCTCCTGCTATCAAGAACCTTAAAACCACCTCTGCTAAAGCTTCCATCCATCCTTTCCCCGTATTTCTCTGATCCTGCTGGAACCGAGGAGACCAGACAAAAAGGACTGCAACCTTTACTCTGGGACTTCCATATTTGGCCCTCACTTTCTCTCTTTTTTTCCCACGAATCATTTTCTCATTCAGAACTCAGTGTTCTCAAGAGTCAGCATTTTCTCTCTCTAACTCTACCTCTGATTCACCAAATTGGATTTCAACAAAACTAGCATTTTCAAGACTACTGACAAGAGCTTGCTCGTTTTTGCTACATCATTGGACATATATTTTAAACGTGGTTCTAAAATCTGCTACCCATCAATATTTTCTACATAATTTATTTATTTATTTAGCAGGAGGAAAAACCTACGCCCACTCTGATGGAATAATTTGTTAAGACTGATTCATCTATAACACACGAGTCAGTCTTTTGAACGATTCATTAAAAGAATTGTCCCAAAACAATGATTTCTAAATGATTTGCAAAATGAGTCGAGGTTTGGTTGATTAGCATGACCCGGCTTTACCCTGCTGGTGGATGCCACAACCCAATGTTTCCTACAGAGTGAGAACATTAAAATAAACAAACATTGAAAAGAACTGGTTCATAAAAGTCGTTTGTTCATGATTCTGATTCAGT